TACAAAAAATGTAGCAAAGGAACGCATAATAAGCCGTTTTTGCACATTTAGTTTGAATTTCTTTTATATGTTTTTCCCTCTAGGGGTGGACTTCCGAATACACATATCTCTGAAACTAAAAACTCATCGTCTAAAATATTTTTACTTAAGAACGTAAAAAATTAGACTAAAACATAGAAGTACAATTTTTTCCTGTTTTTTCGCCTATTTCGAAACGGAACTTTGCTACATAATACATATTTCAGAAAGCTTAATCAGAAATGTTTTTGCTTGAGCACACTGAAAATAATCCATGCTCAACTTTACGAAAAAAAAATTCGTAACTTATATTTTCGTATTATTTACAAAAATTTCGTGTATAATACGAAATATTACTTAATAAAACCCTTTTCTATTTTTACGAAAGTACGAAAACCTTTCGTAATATTTTTTTCATAAATTTTAGCGAAATTAAACATGATGATATTAAGTATATTATCATTAGATAAAACTACAACATTTTTATAAAATTTAAGAAAAAGTATAATATAATTGACGCACTATTTTCATAAAAAACAAGTAACAGTGTTATATTCCGCTATGCCGAATCTTATATACCCACCATCAAACCTCGTTTGACTCGAATGAAACTTACTTATGTCGAATTTCATCTATATACTTGCATATTTAGGCCAGTTATAAGCGTTAAAGTAATTTTCTAAAGGGGACCTTATATAGGGGAGTAGGGTCAATTATGGGTCGATCCTCATAAAATTTGGTAGACAGAATTTGGTTCGTATTAAATTTATTTGTGTCGAATTTCATCGCTACACTCGTATTTTTAAACCATTAATGAGCGTTGCAGTCATTTTCTGAAGGGGACCTTATATAACTAATATTAGAAAAATAATTTTAAAATTAATAAAAATGTTTGCATAAATTAATATTTCGTAAATTTTACAATATTTATTAAAAATTCACTGTTTTCAATTTATGTAAATTAATTTTTTTTATTTTGCATTATACTAAAATATTTCGTACAATTTCGTATATATTAGGCATGGATTTTTTCAGTGTATAGACAATAATTAAAAATTTACTCCAATAGTAGGAATTTTGTCTCTTTTTCATCCACATACCCCTTCTTGTCCCTTCTTATCCAAGTTTTTGAAAAGAATATAGTATATCACACCATACACCTATATATCTAACTATGTTTCAAATTTAGTGTAATTAAAAACATTATGCACACGCTACAGGTCGCAATTTGCAAGATAATTTGATGAATTTTGCACATACTCTTTCCTATTGAAAATGGTTAAAATCGGACCATTATTTCGCATAGCCCCCATACAATCGCACCCCCGAATATGGCTTTTGAGCTCATAAATATGTTAAATGTTCTTGTATGACACCAAAAATCTGCAAAACTAAGTTTTTTATAAGTTTTAATGACAGTGCTGATTTTCGCAATGATCGGTCCTCATTTGATCACATCCCCCATATAATGTCCCCTTCATAAAAGTACTTGATGGTTCAAATTCACTTATAAACACTAATATTACGGCGATGTTCTACATAAATAACTTTAATGTAGACGTAAATCCCTTTACCAAAAATTATAGGGATAGGCCCCTATTAACCACCTACCCCCATATAACCCTCTTTCAGAAAATCCAATATGTCAATAAATTGTTAAAATATTTCTGAAATAAAGTAAAAATTAATTTAAATGTTTTATTATTAAAAAAATAATCAACATTTGTAACGTAATCACCGGTGTAGGGCATCATATCGTCAGCCATGATCAACTATAAATTTTTACTTGTTTATTTATTCACTGCAGTAGTTTGAATTGTCTGAAAATATGCATTTATAGAGTCTCTTTACGCAGCAAATACAGATTTCCCTTTTTACCGGCTTTTTCCCCTAAGGGTGGGAGTTCTAAATATATGAACATATGTCTGAGACTATCAAAATCATAGTTTATTATATTTTGGCTTTAGAATAGAAAAAATCGTTCTTAAAGCACAAAAGTACTAATTTTGTCAGATTTTCGCCATTTGGCCTATTTTTTTGTCCCCTTCCGGTCCAATTTTCGCAACGGCACTTTATTAATTTATATTTCTAACAAATTAAGTAGTTTAATCGAAAATGATTTTGCTTAAGGATAGACAAAATCAGTATTTACTATCAATAGTACTCATTTTGCCCGTTTTTCACCCATTTTACCCCCTTTTTGCCCCCTCCTAGTCCAAGTTCTGAAAAAATATATAGCCTATAACACTCTCCAAGTATAGATCTAACCATGTTCCAAATTTGAAGAAAATCGGTCCAGCCGCTTAGGCGTGATTGACGAACAAACAAACAAACAAACGAACAGACTTACAAAGAGATTTATAATATATATTAGGATTAAGTTTACATTTAATTAATTTGCTTCTGTTCAATTTAAATTTCTTTTTATTTTATGAGTGCCATTTATTCAAATATGTTTGACTATAAATTTGATCTCATTTTATTATCTTTAATTTTAATAGCTCATTTACATATTATTTCTCATTTACAGTCTCCCATCGGTAAATGAAACAAAGTCGATGACATCAGTATGACGTTCTAAGCGAGCAATCTAAGTACTTAGAGTGAAATGTATGCGTAATCCAACATATCATGAATTTAAATTATAACATAGATTACAATTTAAGCAGAGAGTCAGCTGCCATTTTCATGTTGTTTTTTGTTAAAAAAGTTATTTTATTGTAAAAAAAAGATTTAACATAGAAGCGTCTCATCGGTGTGCTCTACCTTAGAATGTAAGCCACAATATCATTAGGGCAAATTTAAATTTCACTTACATAATGAGTGGAGTTCTAAGCGAAGTTCATGAGACGCGTATAAACTCTTGCAAATAAGTATGTAATGTACATATGTATGTAGATTACAATCCTATTTGTAAGTTAAAGTACCATGCCTTCCGATTTTGTTATAAAAAAATATATTTTTGTTTTATATTTATTTTAAAATTATGCAAGTTTATTTAAAAATTATCATCAAATATAGTAAATATGTATTATAGTTAATTCAATAAAAATATAATAAAACAATTTAAACGAAAATAAATAAAACTAATCTTAATTTTCTTTTGAAATTCTCGGCCATCTTCCTTTACAGCTTCTGTAAAAAACAAGAGGAAATTGTCAGCATTTAAACTAGAATGTATGAAATAAATTTACCTTTAGTTTTAAATCCGTTCCTGCCATTTAGATCATCATATTTAAACTTTTTACAATAAAATAACTTTTTTAACAAAACACAACTTCACTTACAAAAGACCAACTTTAAACTGACATAGAAACAAAAATAATTCAGCTTTTCATGTCTTCGGATATTATATAAGTACTTTGTGAAGTGAAGTCATTTCAACAGCTGATTGTTCTTTGTCCATGGAAATTTAGCCCGAAGCTGTCAAACTCCATATAAAACAAGCAAGAAAGTATAGTCGGGCGTGACCGACCATATGATACCCTACACCAGTTATGAATATTAAATGTGATTTATTTTTCATAATAAAGCATTTATCTTCTATTACCTTGTTAAGATACATTTAAGCAATTTATGGATGAAAAACTAATTTTCTGAAAGAGGCTTTATAGGGGGGCTAGGGGCAAATATGGACCAAGCCCAATAAAATGTGCTGAATTTCATTGCGATATTTGTGTTTATAAGTTAATTTTGGACATTCAAGTAATTTTCTGAAGGGGACATTGTATGGGAGCTAGGATCAAATGAGGCCCGATCTCTATGAAATTGGCAAGGTATTCAAGGCTTGTATAAAACTTAGTTGTGCCGCTTTTTATCAATATACAGGTATATTTATCATAATTATGAGCTCAGAAGCCCTTTTCGGGGGGTTCTGTTGTATGGGGGCTAGGTGAACTAATGGACCGATTTTGGGCCGAAAAAAGAGTGTGTGCCAAATTTCATCCAATTATCTTGAAAATTGCGACCTGTACCTTGCGCACAATGTTTACATGGACAGCCAGTCAGCCAGACGGGCATAGCTTAATCGACTCAGAAAACGATTCTAAGCCGATTGGTATACTTTAAGGTGGGTATAGGACGAATATTTTTGTATGTTACAAACATCAGCACAAACCCAATATACCCTCCCCACTAAAGTGGTGTAGGGTATAAAAATTCTCTCTCAAACCCGACGCTGTTACCCTACATATATAAAAAAATTCGAATGGCTTGGGTTTACTAGATAATAAATAAAAACAATATAACAAATACAATCTAGGATGGATGGTTTATTCCTCCTTCCTACAAACCTAGGACATTCTGTACGTTGTTTCCTTGCGTTTACATAAAAAAGTCGCATTCATCGATCTTTGATCTATTTTTTGAGAAAACTACCCAGCAAAATGTTTCTTTACCATGTAAGGAGTTAAAATTATAAAATTTACTTACACAATATCATTTTAAGTCATTATTTTAACATGGTGATGTCATTGGAGGCGAATACTTACTACAACCGCTTACAAGTAATTATGAAAAGTAGTCAATGTAAATAGTACGTAAAAACATATTCAGCTTCTATAGCTCTATGGAGAAGATGACTAATGAATTAGAAAGTATTTAGATTACAAATTATTAATAAAACGTTATTAGACTAATTATATGTAATCAGGGCGATATGTAGTAATTGAAAAATATGTTAATAGGTAAGTAGTTACAACTTAAAGTCTTTACCTGGTTTTTGCTGGGTGGTTAAGAATTAAGAAAAAAAAAATATTTTTTTCGTGTTAATTTAATATTTATAACTTTTTACGCTGTGAACCGATTTTGCTGATTTTCAAAACCTACTTAGGACAATAATGAATACTTCCGGTGAATTTAGTTGATTTTTTTGCAGATAGACAGACGAACAAAGCTAAATTGACTCTCAATTTCGGATGACCCCGAATTCTAGTGTGCCTGAGGGACCCGGCAAACCTTAATACGTCTTGTGTGTAACATACCTATATATGGGTGTGCCTTTATCTTCACGATACCATAAAATCAAAACCACTTCGTCGCCATCATATGTACTGACGTTACATGGAAGATATATAGTTTCTCCACTTAAAGCTTCCACTCTTTGAGAAGGAACTGAAAAAATAGAAAAAAAAATATTTATGATAAGATACATATTTTACGATTTCATATTAGATGTATTTATAACATTTTCATAACTCGGACGTTACACGATAGAGTTCTACATTTTAAGTTCCATTTTTAAGATTAATTTTTTGCTAATATGTATATTTGAGATACCAAATATGATGTTTGAATCTTGTACGTCTGAACCCTCGAGCTCGATTAAACGACGTTAACACGAGCCGCTCGTCGCTCAATGTTTGAAAAAATCAAAATTTTTGGCCAAAAAGCTAAAATACCAGGAAAAACCTACATTGAAAAGTAATGAGTTAAAAATTTCAGTTTTTTAAAACTTTGTTATACAAATTAAAAAAAAATTAAATATCACCGGGGGATGTATGCAATATTTGAAAATTCTTATTGAAACACATCGATATATTATTTATTTAATAAAATTAAAGAAATTTATAAGTATATGGTCCGATATTTAAAATAACAACAAAAAAATAAAATTAACCCTATATTTTTAAATTATATAGAGCATTATTATACCCACCATCAAAAAGGATGGGGGTATATTGTTTTTGTCGTTCCGTTTGTAACACGTCGAAATATTGGTCAAAGACCCAAAAAAGTATATATATATGAGCAAAATAAAAAATTGTTAAGAATTAGATACAATTTTTTTCGAAAATCTTCTAAAAATACGGGTTAAGCTATTTTCAAATAACAATAGTGCTCATTCGTAAACATTTATACACAGAAAAAACTGAAAATGTGTTTTAATTATCTAATTAATTGTATCAACAAAATGATGATATCAATTATGAAATTTGTAAAATATTATTTTTTTCCAATTACAGAAATTATCAAAACAATTAACATCAGTAATTAAACTCAAAATTTAAAATTAGTTAATTCTTTAATTGGATGAATTAAATATTTAATATAATAAAACTTACATTTTAATTAGTTTATTAATTAAATGAATTAAACAGTTTGGTTAAAAAATATTAAAAATCAATTAAGTCAATCAAAGTATTAATTGAATGCTTACGACTTTAAAGCAAACTTGGCATTAACTAAACTACAATGTTTTGGTATAAAATATGGGTATCGATGGATAGAGGAAGTCCTCTAGATACGAATTAAAAAAAGAAAAAGTTGCACTTAATGCAATTTTTTGCATAATTTTCAAAACAAAATTTTCCAAAATTTTATTTAAGAAATATTTTTATTACATTTATAAATATCCTAATTACTTTCGCGAAAGACTAAATTTAATGCATCTTCTGGAAGATTTCTGGATTTTTTTTAGGGAATGTTCTTTTTACAGTTATAAAGGGATCCGAATTAATTAATAAAAAATTGAAAATATCTTTCATATTTTGTATTCGGCTGCATTTACGGGAATTCTGTTCTCGGTTCTGTTCTCGGAATTCTGTTCTCGGAGGCAAACATTTTTATTGAGAAGATTTCAGAGTATCTTTAGCATATGGTTGCTTAGAGCCCATCAATGGCCAAATTGTACTTTTTCACTTTTAAAAATTGAAAAAAAAAACATAAATATCTATAAAAAATTGCATTTTAAGAAGTCGTTAATAAAATAACACCTTTTCATACATAACAATGGTATATTTGGTATCGAAAAAGAAAATTTTAAGAAATTTTATATTAAATGGTAGATTCGTACAAAAAATGTTGTGGTATTAAATTAAATAAAAAAATTTCTTCAAAAATATATATAAAAACATAAACTTTGCTGCATCATCTAAAGGCCTATACAATAAAAATGGGAAAACTAATGACAGCGTTATATAGAATAAAGTCTTAGCTTTCCAGGCATATTAAATCTTTATCAAAAAACTCATTTCTAAATATTTACTTTATGCCAAGTTTACTTAAAGGAGACCCCAATGTGCAGTGGTGCTCAAACACATACTACCAAAGACTACATAGTTTTATTCGTGTTGGTAAAGCAGCAGAGAACAGAATTCAATTCAAAATAAAAGTATACTAATAAAATGACTACAAACTATATGCTAACTGTCAAATATTTATTATGGATTTTGACAGCTAGCGTATATCAAAGTCTGTATATAAACAAGTAAGAGTACTATATTCGGCTGAGCCGAATCTTAAATACCCTCCACCAGCTACTTTTATAATAATTAAGTTTTCTCATATCTTAAATAGAAAAATCCCTAGATTCAAACAGCTCAAATCTATTACAATTACAAGATTTATTGAACATTACCAAAGCTTGTCGATTTTGATTAATTTGCATGTATGCATGTGTGTGAAAGATTTAAGGATTTTCAAAATACATATATATAATTTTGTTCTACACAAATTGATAAATTATAGACCGATCGTAAAAAATTCTTTAAGCAAAACTACTAGACATGAAAGCTATATTTCAGTAAAATTTTGTATCTATATCGTAATTTAGTAATAAGTAATGTGTGTTATGAACCGATCGTGCAAAAATCTTGAAATAGAATTTTTGTATCAATAGCTTTATTTAAAATTATTCAAAATTCTGTATCTATATCATTATTTGGTAATGAATATTGTACATTTATGACCAAGTATGGACCAATCGTAAAACAATTTTATAGTGTAATTTATGTATATAAGAGCAATATTTGTGCTAAATGTATGGATATCAATATTTTGTAATGAGTTATGTGTGTTTATGTGATTTTCGAGAGGGAACCTTGCATGGGAGCTATGACCAAGGATGGACCGATCGGAAAAAAGTTTTACAGTAATATTTCTGTATGTGAGAGTAATACATCTACCAAATTTTATATGGATATCTTAATTTTGTAATGAGTTATGCTCGTTTAAGTGATTTTAGGGATGAGACCTTGTATGGGAGCTATGACCAATAATGGACCGATCGGAAAAACAAATTCACAATAATATTTCTATACACATGAGTAATACTTGTACCAAATTTTATATGGATATATTAATTTAGTAATGAGTTATGCGCGTTTAAGTGATTTTCGGGAGGGGACCTTGTATGGGAGCTATGACCAATTATGGACCGATGGAAAAAAAATCACAGTAATACTTCTGTATGTGAGGGCAATACTTGTACCAAATTTTATATAGATAACTTGATTTAGAAATGAATTATTTGCGTTTAAGTTATTTTCGGGAGGGGACCTTGTGTGGGAGCTATTTTTAAATTTTTTCTCTGAATGAATTCTATTGACATAAGATTTTAATTTGTAAAATTTTGAAAAGATTTCGACATTGTGACGGAAGTTATTAACAAAAAACACATTTTTCGGGAATATGTACTTTTGTATGGGAGGTATATGAAACCGATTCTGACAATTTTCAGTAGGTGTCAAGCTCTTGTGTAGAAACGAATGTATGCTGATTTTCATGGAATTATCTTTCATAGTTTTCGAGAAAATTACATCAGAATGTGTAAAAAATGCTTATTTTTTTCGAGGTTGTTTCAAATTTTGATTCATAACTTTTCCCGGTGTGAACCGATTTTGCTCATTTTCAATACCAAACTGCCTAGGACAATAATAAATATTTTGGGTGAATTTCGTTAATTTTTGTTGCTTCGTGTTAACGTGAGAATGTTTTATACAGACAGACAGACAGACAGACGGTCGGACAGACGGACATAGCTAAATCGACTCAGAATTTCATAAGGTCTCAGATGAATATTTCTTGGTGTTACACACGGAATGACAAAGTTATATATACCCTCTATCACCACTGATGGTGGTGGAGGGTATAAAAACTATCAACTGTTCTCCTACATTCATTCGGCTTTCTCAAAATTTTGTTGTTTTGTTTCTGTGTGTATTTTAAAAACGTCGCGCACAGACCTTGCTTCGACAGGTGCTGATCAGCAACTGATTTGATTTTGTTTTTCAAGTTGAGAGCAAACCAAGTGATATTGCTCATTATAAAAAGAAGAAGTATGCAGTGTTGCCAGAAAATGAATTTCAAAATATGCTAAAACTTGAAAAACTAAGTGCTAAAATGTTCTACGGATGAAAAAAAAGTGCTAAAATTTTTTAATTTAATATAAATGTTTGTTTTTTCTAGTTTTTATTAAAATACTGATGATGTAGTGCATGACTCCAATATTTCTGGTACTATATCTTCATCGTAATCCTCATTTTGATATTTTTCAAATGATCGTATTTTATTTGTAATATAATTTTTTATATGTATATTCATAAACAACATTTTATTTTGTAAAAGATTTTTAATACTAAATTTCCATACAAAATTTGTATAAAATTAAAATTTGTTTATGATTAAGGCCTTAAGTGTAACAGCATGCATTTTGGATTTTCAATTCTTTTCGAATTTGTATTATTGAACATAAAAATTCAGCTTAAATACGATTTCGAATTTTAATTTTAGCCTTTGATATAAAAAGCCTTTCAACTTCGGCATTAGAAAAAGGTGAAACGAGTAATGACAATACAAAAAAAAAAATAAGGCCCAACTATAATGTGCATAAGCTTGCTTAAGGTAATGTAACAATCGAACGAAAAGTCTCTCAAATGCTTAAGAAAATCCGAGGAAACTTTTAGGTGGCTATAATGTACTTACGTGCATTCAAAACAATTTAGCTCCATTTATACATTTATGTGACACACGTAATAAAAAAAATACATATTTCAAAATATTTTATTGAAATAAATTAATTTTCTTTTAGCTTTCCATTTTTTTCTTTATTTTCTTTGTGTATAATAAGCAAACAATTGATCTTTGCTTAAGCAATTAAAATTTGACGAAACTTGACGAAACTCTCTTAAGTACATTATAGTTTGTCACATACATTTTATATGTGTTCGCACAGTTGCTTAAGCTGACTTCAGTTTGTTTAAGCATATTATAGTTAGGCCTATAGACAATTCATTAAATTAATTTTTACCGATAAAATTTTCAAAATTATATACAAAATTATATACATTGTATCAGATTTTTGTCATAATGTTGTTTTGCAATATCCAACCATT